GAAGAGTATTGCCTTCATTGTTTTCAATATATGATTCAATGTATTTAAAGATGATTTAAGGGTTTAAAGGGTTTGAGGCTTATTTGAGATAAAGCATATTAGACCTTCATGGCCAAAATATATTATTGAGGTTTTAACCGTATAGGGGGATTTGAACTGATGGTCGGATAGGTTTGAGGTCGATTTGGATTTGAGGGAAAATAGACCTTCGTGGCCAAAAATCTGTCGTTGAGGCTTCAACCCTGTAGGGTAATTAGATTGTGAGAAACTCTAATGATTGTGGGGTATTTGTAAGAAATTATGGGAATTGGAGGCGTAAATATGATACGTGATTGAACCTATATCCCTTAATTTTAAAGGTTTTAGGCATAGTCTTAAAACAATAATTAGATGGTTTAATTGTATTAAAATTGTAAATTTACTTGAGATGATTACAACGTTGAATGAGTTGTAATTTTCTGAAAGTTTGGGTTTTTACGGAATCGAAGTCGGAGGTCCGGAAGGCCTCCAACGGTGAAAAACGCAGAAAATTCTGCATGCTATCCGTCACGACTATTCATGTTTTCGGTCAAAATCGTTTTGGACGTAACTTTTGATCCGTAAGTCAATTTTCCCCGTTTGAAGCGTTGGAAAGCTAATGAACAGGGCTATAACATGGTATAGATAAGAGAATTGGTTTCCCAATATTTTTATATCTAATATGTTTGGGAAGTCAATTATGTTCTGGTTCAGTGATGTCTTGATGCTTTGATGCTATATTTTTTGGGTGAATTACCATGAGTGTAACTATGATTCCTATGTGATCAAATGAATGTATGATGAATTACCATGAGTATAACTGTGATTTATATGTGATTAATACATGATTGCATGATGAATTCCCATGAGGAACTGTGATGATTTGTGATGTTGATTCCATGAGTTTTGATGATTCTATGATGACGTGATTCTTATGATTATTTTGATGAATGATGATGCACCTAATGAGATTATTATGAGGATGATATTGACGTGTGCGTCATGCATTCATGTGCATCCGGACTTCGGTTCAGGACCTTGATTTCTTTGGCTTCAGTCCCATTGTGCGGATGTGAGGTATTTTGATCCTATTGATGGGGATCTATGGAGGGTTGATGGCCCAGTGTCCATCGAGTTGATGATTGGTACCACATGCATGAGTCTTGTTGCATTTGCATTTATGTGACAATTTGGTGTAATTTATAGTGTTGTGTGACCTTTGATGTTCCTTGATGATTATGATGATGTTGAATATGAAAATGACGTTGTTTTATATATTGATTCCTATATTGATTATTATGAATCATTTTACTCACCCTGCCTGTTTGAATGTTGCCTCCACGTGGATAACGTGCAGATGACCAGGTTTGGCCGTGGATGTCGTCGAGGACTTTTGAAGTTTTCGGGTCGTTGATCATTGTGGTTGACTTAGAGGGTCTTACTCTGATAGTGTAACATCGGGTTGGGGTCCTTGAGTCAAACTATTTTATTGAGTTTTTGTTATGTTGATTTCCTTGCGGTAAAAGGAAAACTTTGGATTTTTTCCTTTTTGAGTTCAGCTGCCATTTGAGCACTTTTTAGTAATTTTAAGAAAACTCGTTGCTTACGGAGCATTGACCTTGATTTAAGTTTATTGAGAAATTTACGCCCTTTGAGGTGATTTTTATGGTGTTTAAAGATTTACTCTGATAAATTCTCTTATTTTGCCATAATATTCGTGGGGTAGAAAATGGTGTTACATCTCTCACTATTGATTGAACTTCTTTACTCTTATATATTACTACTGAACCTAAGCATGTGACAACCAAGTGCTAATTTTATCTTTTTCTCATGGCTATTGACAAGGCTTTTCATTGAGAATCAACTTAATTTATTACAATCTCTGTGTGATCAATACTCTTACTTTTATATCACTTGTTACTATTTGACTGTGTATACTTTTACATATAAATAACACAATAATACCCTACTCCCCTTATTCACCTTTCTCACCATGTAGAAGGAAAAAAAACGCGCCCATGGTAGGAATGAGATATTGACCATTACATAGAATTTTAAACCCTCTCACAAAAGTCCAACTGTTTATGTGGAGTTTGGATATCTAATTCAAAGAAAGTGAAAATAATATTCACCTATATCCCATTTTCATCAGAGACTATAATTAAAACTATTTGCATAAATATAATGAAATTAAAAGATAAAAAGAGACAATACTTGTGAATTCTGCTCTAGGAGATACTGTAGTTGTTATAAAGGTTGTAATGTGTTGATGAATAAATGGTAAAGACACAGGGGTGGGATGACTTGAATGTATAGGAACACTCTTAAACAATTTTTCCTTACAAGCTTCATGCTTGAGGAGGTTGCGTAACGTCATAAGTATCATGGCTCAAGACCTACACATTATAACAATCTCTACCCAATGTCATGTATGGGGCATGTGAGAGATCTTAAAAAGAGGGGCATCAAATTGATCACATACTTGACACGTGGACAAGGTGGATACATTACAAGAGGTCCTTGATGTAACACCCTAATTTTTCCTGCGTAATTTATAAGTAAAAATCATAGTAAATTAAACCATCAACAATTAGGATGCTATCTTTAACACAACTAGTCATGCAATTGGATATGTAATACGTATTGAATTTTAAAATAATAATAAAGATAAACAAGTATGAACTTCAATATTATTTTAGCAGCGGAAAAATATCAACGACTGATTCTTTTAACTTTTCAAACATAATCATAAAAAACAATAATTATAATAATCCATTAAACACAAGAGATTAACATGAAATCTCCATCAAACATCAATTACAATAAATAAGCGTTCCAATCTCCCAGTGTTACATATCAGAGTAGAGGTCGACTCAACAAAAACATAAAGAATAGTACTCTCTTTAACTCACATCCAAGCCTCTACTACGAATTATCTACACGATGCCCATGTAAAGACAACATTCAAACATAAGGGGTGAGAAATCACAATCATTTAATGAAATTGCACTAATAATATATAGGCACACCAACACCATACACATAGTCACCCATTCCACAACTCATACTTCGCACAGTCCAAATATAATAATACAACATGTATGCAATGCAAAGAGACTCAACTCATGACTCAATGCACGTGGTATCAAATGTGAACTCTTAGGTTCACTCACTCCCGGTCCCCACTATAGGATCAGAGTCCACCAAAGAAATTGTTACCATCACCATAGGTAACTCTTCACCGATTCCCACCTGGAACCAGCTACTCACACCCAATCCCCACCATAGAATTGAGGCTCACCAAAAGCAGACTACCGTCCAAACACCATGATGCATGATCCACAAATCACATGCAACAACATTAACACAACGTACAATGATATTCATCTTAATCATTATACCACATCAAAACTGGTCACCAAACACCAAACATGCACTACAAGCATTCAACAATAGCATTATAGTAGTATAGCAAGTAATAACACACCATTCACAGACCATGCCACACCACAACATACACACCACATACCATCCAACACCGTTTAAAATCATTTCTAGGTATTGAAACTATTTTTTTAATAAAGTTCATTACATCAGCTTCTCAACGCTTCGAATGACACCCCAAACTCAAGTTATGAATTTTTAAAGTTTGACACAGCATGTGTAACCAGTTACACCAAAACAAGTAAACGATTACCACTTGCTCAAAAACATTGGCTAACCATTCTCAGTGTAACCGCTTACACCAAATCTAGTAACCGGTTACACCCTTTAAAAATTGTCCAGTTACGCCTTTTAAGGACAGTGTAACCGGTTACACAAAAACTTGTAACCGGATACACCCTTTAAAAAAGTCAATTCTTTGAAAATTTGTTTCATGTGTAACCGGTTACACCAAATCGGGTAACCAGTTACCACTGCGATAAAAACAATTTTCTGCTACTTTTTGATACGAAAATCAGTTTCGAACCTTCCCCAAAATCCCAAATTTTCACAAAACAACATATACTTATGTTTCACATTCTGATTCCTAACAACACACAATCACACAACATTTCATTCATCACCCAATTCATCCAAACATACATTCTAATGGCATTATCCCACAAAACAAAAGAATTCATGCATAAGAGAAAAATTCAATCAAGAGAACAAATTCACCCATCCACGTACTATAATGCAATGCCCTTATACAAAACGAAATTTCACCCTTATCTTAGAATTCCTAACAATGATCTCTTCAACTTCTAGCAATGATGCTCTTCCTACTGCTTCTCCTTCCTTGCCCTAACCCCTTTCTCTGCTATCTTCTCACAACTTTACGTAGAATGCAAAACTAAATCACCTTCTCCTAATTTTTTCCTCTTTCTAATAAATTTATTCTCACAATATGATTTCCCTTATTTACCCCAACTTACTCTCATATAATTACCTCTTTGTCCCTAAAATCCCTACGCATATTATTTATTTTATTTTCACTAATTAATACAATAACATAAATAAAACATTACCTTTAATTACCAAAATAACTCTAAAATAAATAAAAAATATTTAAATTTGTGATATTAAACTAAAAAAAATCATAACTGAATTTAGTTATTTACTTAATTTGAGAAACAAGTAAATTATTATTTTACAGTTTTTGAAATTAAATATTTTAATCTATATAATTTCAAGAATTAAAATACTAATTCTGTAAAGTAAAAAATAATAAAAAAAAGGAAAGTAGATGATTTATTAGAGCAGCCAGCAACAACAACCGTGAAGAGAGTCAGCAATAGTCTATGAACAGAAAAAGAAACTAACAAACAAGGAAGCAAAAGAAAGGAAAAGAAAAGAAGCTGCCAGAAAAAGAAAAGCAAATCAAAAGAAGAAGCCTAATCCACTCGCCCAGTTTCAACAGAAAAGTGAAATTATTTGGTGTTTTGTGAATCAATCTTTCTTCTAAGTTTTGTTCTTTAGTTGTCACCCTCCTCCTCCACATGGGTCGCCTTATTTTCTTTCTCATAATTCTAACCTTCTTTACATTATCTTTCCTCTCAGGTAAACTTCACAAACTCTCTATTTTTATTTTTAAAAATTGCACCTTATCTCTAAATTTTAACTATTTTTCAATTTGATCCTTGAATTCTTTTCAGAGGTACAGTCGACATCGTTCAAGATTGTAAACAAGTGTCGTCACACAATATGGCCGGGATTACTCTCAGGCGCCACCTCGCCGCCGCTTCCCACCACCGGATTCGCTCTTAAGAGTGGAGAGTCAAGGACTGTTAAAATCCCGAAAGCTTGGTCGGGTCGGTTATGGGCACGGACTCTCTGCGGCCATGGCTCCGACGGGAAATTCTCGTGTGTCACCGCTGACTGTGGTTCTGGTAAAGTAGAGTGCGCTGGCGGTGGGGCTAAACCTCCGGCATCATTGGCGGAGTTCACCTTGAACGGAGCCGACGGGTTGGATTTCTACGACGTGAGTTTGGTCGACGGTTATAATCTTCCGATGCTGATCGTGGCTAAAGGAGGGACTAAGGGAGGATGCAGCCCTACTGGTTGTCTTGTTGATCTTAACGGAGGTTGCCCCGCGGATCTTAAGGTGGCGCGTGGTGATGGAAGTGGTGATAACGTTGCGTGTAGAAGCGCGTGTGAAGCTTTTGCGGACCCTCGTTATTGTTGTAGTGAGGCGTACTCCACGCCTGACACGTGTGCTCCTTCGGAATACTCGCAGTTTTTTAAGCATGCATGCCCACGCTCATATAGCTACGCGTATGATGATAAGACTAGCACATTCACGTGTGCCTCCGCTAACTATTTGATCATTTTTTGCCCCTTACCTTATACAAGGTACAATTACTCTTTACTCTTTCATCATTTATATGCTTTGATACTCTTTTTACTTTTATCTTTGATTATATATGCATGAGTTGTTGTTAAAGTAAGCGTAACTATGTCTTTTAATTAGAGTGCATGATTGCTTTGGAAGCTCAAGCCAGTTGGATGGTGGGGGCAAATTCCCTATCCTTTTAGAGTGGACTAGAATTAACTGCATTTGTTTTGTCATTTGTGGACTAGAATTAGGGATGCATTCATTGATTTGGATGTTGGCATGACAACAATTTGTAATTTCAAATTGTCCCGATTTTGATGTGAAACTCTACTTTGATAGGGTCAGATTGTCTCTGAGAGTGTTGTCTTTGAGAGCCAGCGTGCAAGTACAAGTGCAAAACAACTGACCGCATGATTAAAAAAATTTCACATCTAACTCGTGGCTAAATAGAGCTTCCATCAAAAATTAACACTAAGACGGCCCTGTGAAGGGTGCAAATTTTTGTTCTGACTATTCACTTATATGTTGTTTGGCCTTGAGCAGCCAAAAAGTGTTGGGAGCACGGCAAGACGGGGCGCAGCTTCCTCTTGTAAACAAAACTATGATGTATTTAAAAAGGCAACATTCTGGTGGTTCTTCGTCAACAGGTCTAATCCAAACGCAGATTATAGCTTATGTTGCATCTATCACTCTGGCATTTTTTCTGTCATGCTCTCATAATTAACACTGTTTATGGCTCGCTTTGTATGGACACTTCAGGCAGGAAGTATCACAAAGACTAGCCGGTTCTTAATGTAAGCTTTTCTTGTTGTGTTCGTTCTTGCTATTTGACAAGGTGTTCAATGTATGGCTACTTGCTGATTCTACTCATCGTGCAGGACTTGAAGGATTTCATATAGGACGCACACTGTAAATTTTGTTTGTATGTTATATCCTTTTAGTATACTTCAACTATCACTAGTTGAACTCTGGTGATCCTTCTGTTTTGCTTTTAAATTTTAACAATGGAGGGATTATAATTTTGTAAGTGTTTTTTGTAGTCTAGATTTTGCTAGTTATGATCAGAACTTCAAATGTATATTTGGCCCTATAAATTTTTAGGAAAAAGCTTTGAACACGTACTTACATTATTTTTGTAGTATTTTTATTTGTTTTGTTTGGTGCCCTTATATAACAAGAGAAAAGTTATTCTTACACCAATATATACACTACACTGTGTTTTTCTGTTCACCAATGCGGTGAACATTAAAATATTACAATAATAAAATATTTTTTTAAAAAAAATATATAAAAATTAATTAACTTTTTATATTTCTACGGTTATTAATCAAGTTTATAACTTTATTAACCAACTTTTTACATTTTATTAATCAAGTTTGTTTTATTATTAAAAGTTATTTTTAATATCTGGACGTTTATTTACCAACTTCATCATTTCATTAACCAATTTTTTATATTTTATTAACCAACTTGATTTTACTATAAAAGATTATTATTCACACACTGTGCACGTATACTGATCACATAATACTATTCATATACTGTTCACGGTACTGTTTATGTACGATTTTACTGTTCATCGTATTTGTGAATAGTATATATGGTGTAGGTGTAAGTGTGGGTGTAAAAATAATAGTATATACGGTGTAGGTGTAAGTGTAGATGTAAAAATAGTAATGCTGATATAACAAATATCGCAATACCCAATAACAAGATAACTTAAAAGAAGTAAAATTTATTACCATTTACATACAAGAGAAACATAAGGAAACACTAGTAACAAGAACATGAAAATCTTAGAATAATAATTATTTAATTAGTTAAATTTGAATTGATAAAATTAATTAATAATAAATTATATTATAATCATTTGTTAAACACTAATTATTAATAAATTATCTAATTATATTTGTGTCAGAATGTAATAGGTTAATTTATTCAATTAAATTTAATAAAAAGTCTCGGATATAAGTCGTTTAAATAATTAAACGTTATTTTGTTATACGATTAAAATATTTTGAAAATTCTTAAACCGTAATAAAATACTGATTCTTTCTGACGACAGTCTTATATTTTAAATTTCAAATCCTTATTAGATATGTTTTATAGCTAATGTGTGAATTATATGTTAATCGTGATTCATACATAGTTTTGGTTGGGTGAAAGGCTAATGTGTGAATTATATGTTAATCCTGATTCATAGTTTTGGTTGGGTGAAAGGCGTTAATGTATTAGGAATTATGATTAACCAAACCGATTTGAAATTTATAGTTGTGATTATTTATCCTTTTAATCTGTTTATTGTTCATACAACACTATGTTATATAAGCATTGTTAGTTTTACACTCATTACACTATATTATATAAGCGTCGTTATTTTTACACTAATTTGTACACTAAAAATTTGTACGGTATAAATTGTTTATTGTATTTATATGGTCAATAGAATTTTTTTAATAAAAAAAACATATTTATGAACAATATTACAAACAGTATGTGAACGGTATCATGAATTTCTGTAAATAGTATCATGTGAACAATACTTATGTGTAGTAACTTTAAATAGTGAAACAAAATTGATTAATAAAATATAAAAAATTAGTTAATGAAATGATAAAGTTGATAGAATCTGTTGTTTATATATATGTTTTCTGATCACTATTATAAACAACAATAGAATTTTTAGATCCATTGAATAAACATGTATCTGATCATTATTATATATCAGATACATCAATTATTCAATGAATTAAATTTTTTTATTATTGTTTATAATAGTAATTGTCATACCTCAAATTTGTCCTACCTTAATTTTTTCTTGTACCTAACTTTGTGTGGCTTCTTGATCTTCCTTTAGATGATCATTTGACCTTTGGCCATGAACCTCTAAGGTTTAAGTCATGAGGATTTTGTATGTGTTTATGGTGTTTGTAGGCCTTTGTTGAAGTGATTTGATTTCAAGAAGGAATGTGCCCTTATTCTCATGATCAAGCAACTGTGACAAGGCCAATGGTTCAAGTTATGTGATAGAATCCATTTTAAGGCATGATCATTGGTATTAAGAGGTTTTGAATCCTATTTCAACTTGATTACAAGTTTTTCCTCCATGTGTTGAGCCATACTCAAAAATTGACCCAAGGGTGTCAAATTATCTCAAAACCATTCAAGTCATTCCTAAAGTTTCTTTCAACCAATTCACGACCAAGGTATATTTCAAGAATGACTTCAAATGTTGTTTCAAGATTGCTAAGGATATGTGATTAATCAAGACATACTTAAAGGCCATGATTCTATGTCAATTATTTCAAGTTGATTCCAAGCATTGCTAGATCTTGTAACCAATTAAGCCATGAGGATAATTTTGTGCCATGCCCAAAGTTTCTCAAGTTTTGGTTAAATTTTTCAAGCCATAAAAGAGTTATTTTCAAGGCATACCTTGAAACACAAGAAGTTTGCAAGTTTGTATGTGCATGACATAAAATTCCAAGTCAAGAAGTGCAAGTTTATTAAGGGCATTTGGTACAAGTTTTACAATCATTCAAATTGGATTCAAAAAGGTTATAAAGGCACAAGAAGTGAGTTTTCTTTCGACCAAAACTTACTCCTTTTGTTTCATATTTCAAGAGTTCTATTTGGTTTGGTCATCAACATGAGAATTCAAGAGTTTGTTGCAAAGAAAAGTAAGAAGTTCTACATGACCAAATTGAGACAAGGTGCACTTGAAAATTTCATGTCTTCATTACATATACTTCTCATGAAGCACAATTCCTTGAAGAATAACAAACCATAAAGCTTGGAGCCAGGGTTCATGGCTATCATCATCTTCATATTACAAACAAGCCAAGAAAATGAAAGTTTACAAGTCATAGGCTTAAGCTACAAGTCATAGGGTTAAGTACACGTGTTAACATGACCAAAATTGACAAATTACCTAAAAGAGTGAAATTGCATTTTGCAAATAAAACTTGTTGCACAAATTGTACTATTTCCAGCTCACTTTCACACGTATAACCAACCTTGCCTAACCTCAAACCAAGCCTGAAAATATCTCACCTAAACCACATTCCAAACCTGCCACCATATGCTCATGCCTTGCATAACAAACTTTAAACTAAGTCACAATAGATTCTAAACCTCAGCAATGCTTCCAAACCACTTTATCCAACCTTAAAATGTCTCACTATATGAAGCTACCCCCTCAAAAAGCCGCAGAGGATAGGTTTCAGATTTGAAAATCACCAAATATTCTCTCATTTTTTTCATCTTTGAGTTTACATTTGTAGTGCATTTCTCTACAAATTCTTTTCATAATCTCCATAAATACCACATATTGAAGCTTTTGTATGCAATGTTTGGCTTCTGAACTCATCCTTTAACTCTGTCCAAGTGCATCTTCATATTGTATGCAAGTGGATTTGGTTTGGAAACTCTAGCAAGGCTCAAGGTAAAGCAATTTCATATTTATGTTCTTGGAGGCTCCTTGAAGCTTCTAATATTATTTTCTCTTTGAACCAGTGGCTGTGAAGGTGCATCGGACATACTCCGATAGGTATCATCCCTAACATCTCGTCCTCTATCATTTCAACATCATTTAACCTTATTCTTGTTGCATAATCAATCGTGATTATGTTTTATGCTGAAGCCCTATGAAAACAGACATTGTTTGGCCTTGTAAGTGATTTAATTTGAGTTATAGATTTTTAGGGTTCGTTTGTATTTGCCCGATTACATGAATTTGATTTTGATTTTGCGAAAATTGATTTCATTTTTGGTTCAACATGAGATTCTGATTAAAATGATGTGACTATTTGGAGTTTTTGGAGAAATCGCCATCGTCACCACCGCCTTGTGGCGACCGGCACAGTGGTGACCTTTCCTGAGAGCTGTCAACGCTCACGGGAAAGGAATTGGGGCAATAATTGTGACTCCTCATGGATCTCACATCTCGTTTACTTCCAGATTAACATTCAAATGTACCAACAATGAAGTCGAATATGAAGCATGCATAATGGGCCTTAAAGAGGCGATAGACCTAAGAATCAAGAATTTGGATGTATACGGTGATTCCTTGTGGTAGTCTACCAAATCATAGGAGAATGAGAGACTCGTCAAGATAACTTGATCTCATATAGAGACTAGGCAAGAAGATTACTACCTTTCTTCAACAGGGTCGAATTCCACCATATTCCGCGTGACGAGAACAGGATGACAGATGCTCTAGAAACGTTGGCCTCTATGATTGTAGTGAACTGGTGGAACGATTGTCCCAGGATTACATATTTGCAATAGAAGATGTTGAAGATGATAAACCTTGGTATCATGACATTGAACTGTTCCTTGGAAAGCAAGAGTACCCGTATGGGGTATCAAACAAATATAAGAAGACATTGAGAAGGTTGGTTGGAAATTTTCTCCTAAGTAATGATGTACTGTACAAGCGAAACTTTGACATGGTCTTGCTAAGATGTGTTGATAAGCGGGAAGCAGACATGTTAATGACGGAAATTTATGAAGGATCTTTTGTCACTCATGCTAATGGGCATGCTATGGCTAAGAAACTCTTGAGAGCATGATACTATTGGATTACAATGGAATCATACTGTTATAAGTTTGCTAAGAAATATCACAAATGTCAGATTTACATAGATAAAATTCATGTGCCTCCGACTATGCTTAATGTTATCTCGTCTCCCTGGTCGTTCTCCATGTGGGGCATTGATATGA